TAATAATAATAATAATAATAATAATAATAATAATAATAATAATAATAATAATAATAAACTACTGTGGTAATACAACGCAAAATGTGGTGTCCACAGCCAGGTCTTAAGAGGTGAATAGAAACCTGTAGCAAGTACAGTATACACACACACACACACACATTGTGTATGTATGTAACTAAGTGCATTCACTCAAGTACCTAACCGAAGGAGAAATTTAAGGTACTTGAAGCTAACCTCAGTCTTTTCTTTCATGTCTGTCTATTTCTAGTCCATTATGTGTCAGAAGGAATTATGGTAGTTAAGTCACTATTTACTTTATTTTATTTTATTTTTTTGTACAAAACATGTGAAAAACTTGTAAAACATGATGTCTTTTTGTAAAGCAAACTGCCAAAGTTTATCCAAGCACAGCCCACAAAAAAACAGACAACTACTTTTGTATATGTTTTGAGCACTTCTGATGAAATTTCTCACTATTTTTTAGTTTTCTTTACAAACAAATCAGTCAATCAATGATGAAAAAATATTCGTCAGGTTAATCCATAATGAAAATAATCAGGAATTGCAGTTCTATATAAAATAGTACAACAGTATTCTAAATAAATGATATCAAATGAAAAAGTATTACAAAGGGGACGTTTTTCGACACTGACTACATTAACTTTAAATACTTGAAGTACATTTTGCTGACAATACCTACTTCTACTTAAGAAACCTTTTCAATGCAGGATTTTTACTTGTAACTCAATTCTTGTGTGGTTAAGTGTGGTATTAATACTTTTGGTTAAATAAAGAGTGTAAATACTTTCTCCTGATCATTTGAATCTAACACTCTATGTGTCCATACATGATTGTGTTTTTTTCCCATAAGTCACAGTGAGCTGTTGCTGCACTTGTCACTGCTGTATATACCTGTTGCTGTTATTGTCCCGTATGTGCCTTTGGCATCTATGCTACCTTCTGTACTTTCAGTACCATGGAAAAGGTTCCAGAAAAAAGAAATCCTGTGACATTTCTAGTCTCCCAACACCTTGAATTATGATCCATGCTGTACATTTGTGGTTCTATGAAAGTTTGCATGAGGCCTACCTGTGGACTTTATACAAGCGCTATACACTTTGTCCTCACAGGAGGTAGTCTTCCATTTTCCCTCTTCGTTCACATACACACAAGGTCTTTCCATCCTTGGTTCCCGTCGATCCCAGTCAGACAAGGTCATATGCCAGCCATCAACATATCTGAAATATCCATCAGTCTGCAAGCAGAGATTGATAAAACTGTATTCTGCATCATTAATTCAAAAAATAGATTGTTTTTCAAGGATGTCCATAATCTTGGGATTTGTATGGTGAATAATGCACTTTTTTTGGATCACTTTACTGTCTTCCATTTTCTTACACATAGCTTGCCTTCAACACTGCTGAACAGTCTGTTTCATGTTTAGCAAAATGTAGCTTGTGTTGATCTACATCAATAATCTAACTACACGTGCACATGTTGTGTGTACTCAGTAAAGTCTTCAGTCTGTTGGTATTGTGTTATTGTACATGGTAATGGACTTTGTAGAGTCAAGTTGAATTTCCTTATAGAGACAATAAAGTATCTTTCAGTCTATCCATCTTGCTCGAGGTTTAACTTACAAGGATGTTCATTGTTTTTATTTTCTAAGTGCTTTTTAAAACATGTGTTCTCTGTACCTGCTTACTGTTGAGTCCAAGCCACAGAGGAGCTTGGAGCTTTATAGCCATCAGGGAGATATACAACTTCGTCCAGTCATTTCGCACGCTGGCCAGGTTGGCACCATCATTTTCGCAGTTCTTCTTGGCTTCTTCCCAGTTCATTTGTTGAGTAACAACCTTGATAGAGTCGTTAAATATTTTGAAATAATTTGTTGGAATTGCTGTTTCATTGGCATCTGGGAGAGATGGATCTGTTTAGAGAAAGAAATAATCCAAATTTACTTTCCATTCATTTTAAAGTCAGAAGCCCTGTTGTATAGAGACCTAAGAATTACCCACATGTTCCATTTCCTTAAGAAGCAAGAAATTATTCATTCACCCAGTTAAGAAATTGTTCTAAATTAATTGGTCCCTGCTTGAAACACAGTGCTACACATCTCACATTTCTAAGGATGAAATTGCTTTTTCAATCATCAGTAAATATTGATCCAATACAAAAGAATTGCAAGAAAACCACTTTAGCAGAATTTGTAGTTTTAAGGCTCAAAAAAAATATCCCACTATGAGCAACACAGGAACACATACTGAACGTGTTTCTCAGAAGTAATTTCACAGCCAGCAGGGTGTGCTGAAACATCGCTGCTTCATTCAATTCAACAGTGTTCAAGCCACGGGGCACCATCAAACAGGGAATTTGAGATTGATGTGGGCTTATTACAAACAATTAAAGTCTTGTAAAGATAAAAGCAAATTTTCTGTCATTGTGCCAGCCGAAAACTCAGCTGTTCAACTTGAACCAGCCTTTGTTTTGTGGGTCAGCAAATGGAGTGTTGTGTGCAATGAGCATCAAAAATTGTCCACTCATGAAGTAAAAAAAAAACAAAACATTAATATTGTGCTACAGATGAAAACTGAAACATCCAGAACGCAACCAGAGAGCGGCCTTAGGTCACCTGCTTGACAAAAGTTGAAAGCCATTCCATGCACACTGCTCCCACAGGAAGTGTATGGAGTGTATCATACTTAGATTAACTAAACACCATTTGAAAATTGTTTTTAACAACTGCTGACATGCCCACCAACTGTATATTATGAGTCAATACTTTTTTTTCAGAATCAGATTTTTTCATCGGAATGATTTGTATGTAACATGGTTAAGGTGCAAGGTGGTGCAGTTGGTAGCACTGTTGCCTCGCAGCAACCGGGATGCCGGTTCGCATCCCGGTGGGGGCACCGGAATCTTTCTGTGTGGAGTTTGCATGTTCTGTGTCCTGTGCAGCGTGGGTTCTCTCCGGGTTCTCCGGCTTCCTCCCACACAGTCCAAAAACATGTTGAGGTTAATTGGTGACTCTAAATTGTCCGTGGGTGTGAATGTGAGTGGGCTTGGTTGTCTGTCTCTAAGTGTAGCTCTGTGATAGACTGTCTTCGCCCTAAGTCGGCTGGGATAGACTCCAGCCCCCCCGCGACCCTAGTGAGGATTAAGTGGTGTATAGATGATGGATGGATGGAATGATTTGTATGTAACATGGTTAAGATGCAAGGTGGCGCAGTTGGTTAGCACTGTTGCCTCGCAGCAAGAAGGTTGCCGGTTTGCATCCCGGTAGGGGCACCCGGGATCATTCTGTGTAGAGCTTGCATGTTCTCCCCGTGCAGTGTGGGTTCTCCAGCTTTCTCTTACAGTCCAAAAACATACTGAAGTTAAGTGGTGTTTCTAAATTGTCAGTAGGCCTGTCTGTGCAGTCTATCTGTGTCAACTGGGATATGCTCCAATCCCCTGCGATCATGGTCAGATTAAGTATTGTGTATAGGTAATAGTTGGATGGATGTTTAAATAGCCTTCATCCTCTTCTGCACCCTGCGTTAACAGTCACTGCTGGTGCCTGCTGCTTTAGTACAAGCATCCATTATGCAATTGTTTTGTCAGGAAAGTATCTGGAGAAAATCTACAAAACTGTGTCCATTGATCAACAACTAGCAAATAGTTATTTTAGCTATTTGAAGCACCATGTGAAATATTTGCTGTACAATGTTTCTAATGTTTCAGATATTCAAATTTGTTGCTTTATTTGGCACACATGAAAGTCATTCTGATATTGGAGGATTTTAGACTGGTGTAGTTTGACTAACCAGATGCAAATGTCAGAATAAGCCTTCTACTGGTCATTTTTAAATGTTTTTAAAATCATCTTCACTATGAAAACTTAGTCAGCTAGTCAGCATTGGTTTGCCACATCTTTTTTCTGTGGCAGCATCTTGGCTTTATCAGCGGCTTTAAGTTCACCTCCTCATACAACCTTCTGTTATACCTGTTTGAGAATTTTCTTTGAACACATAGAACTAGCAAACTGAATCCGGTGAGCTTCCTTTATCTCCAGATCACCAACTATTGAATCACGTTTGTCTTCCTCATCAGTACAAGTTGTAGGTTAAACAATTTGCATTTTTCAGTAACAGCGGCAACTTCTAAATAATTATGATGAATAATTTTGTGCAGATTCTCAGCAGTGGTAAAAATGTGTACAGTGATCATGGAAATGGATTATGACGATTGTAACTTTCATGGCACCTTTAGCAATGACGACTTAGCAACATCTTGTCACAGCAATGACCTGTGCTCCTCTTTGCCTCATCTCCTCCACAAATATGAAACAGTGTTGATTTGCTATGTAACTCTAGCAAACAACCAGTTTGACAGTCCTAGTTAAAAAATACACAAGATTGTTGGCTTACCAAGCTTTCGCAGACAGATGTATCCATTGGTGTCATTGCAGGACTTTTTTAACCATTTCCCAATGCCAACCTTAGCATTAGTAGTCATTAAAACACATTCTTTCTGTTGAGGCAGAGAAAAGAGATAGAAAAGTGAGCTAGAGATCAACATGTGATAAATCCAGGTCTATTCTGCAGGAGCCTCGAGCCGTCTGACTCTGCTGATAGAATAGCTACAGTCATGTAGTAGGATTTCTTGAAATGTGTTGCTCTTTGGCCAGTGGTGTGAATCTTTGACAGTTCCAATCAAACAAACAAACAAACAAACAAACAAACAAACAAAACTGTCCTATTTGTACTGCATAAGCATATAAATCACCATCCAGTAAGTGAAAGAAAGACGAAATAAATCAAAATATTAACAAAGATTCAATGTTGTGATACAGTGCAAAGAAAGTATTACCTTGACACGTCTCGGCCACGGATAATCCTGCAGTCACAAATGTTTGAATACACAAGCAGAACACATATTATAAACAATACAGATTCATATAATTTGGCTGTGTGTGCCTGAGGCAAAACCTCAACTGGCAATCAAAGTGTGATGAATTTTGCATTTTACAATAAAATTCAATTGATCAAAATGATTTTACCTCCTCATAGGGATAATGATATCTGTCTGAGTGGTCAGACCTCTGCAATGGAAATCAGAATATCGGATGTAGATTAATACGCCAACGTATAAACAACACAGATTCATCTAAAGTATAAAACAGACGATGAACACTCCACAACACATTCAAAATTAATAATTGCATTATTTCTAAGCTAAGTTGTTGTTGTTGTTGTTTTTTTTTTTTTTTAATCAATCAAAGTCAAATTGTTTTAAAAAAAACCTTATTAAAAATACAGGCCCCAAAAGTAGAAATTTAGTTCAACTGAAGTAAATACACCTATGATCCCTGACACACGCGTGAGAAAACCTGTGATCATGGAAGCTGAATTGAGTTCACCTTTTTAGACGGAATACATTTAATGCAAGGTGATACAATTTGAAATCATTTGATATTTAAATGATGTTGTATTCGGTTGTGCTGACTTGTGTTGTACACTCTGACACTAGGTTGTTTAGAAAACCTAAGCTGACACAGTTATGCCTCAAGTACACAACATTTTAAGCTTGCAACCCAAAAAGGGTCAACTATAACTTTGAAACAGTGTCAGTGCAATAATAGAAAAACATATTGACATCCTCATAAAAAACACACACATCGTTTGCACAGATTCCACGTACTTAGCATTGTAATACAGAAACCATGAGGCCCACTTACGTCAAAACCCCAGTTTCTGTATCGGTTTGGTCGCCCATCCGTCCAGTAAAACGCGCTCATATCATTTTGAGCATGCGCACCGATCCACAGGTTTCTAGTAGGCGCTTGAAACAATTTACCCATCAGGAAGTCTGAAAATGCAACACAAAATATATATATATTTTTTTTATGTCATTTGAAATCTACAGTTTTGCTTTGATTTATATATAAGTACAACATGAAAAATATTTCAGATTTTTATGCAAACTTAGAAATAATCAGAATATCTGAAGATACATTGAACAGCACAAGAAGTCCCGTAAAATAAAAAGAGAATAGTATTAATTCTGCAATATTTTTAAGTCAGCAGTGATATATAAAATACTTGGTGGCTCTGACCATAACTTATTGTCAGATTTTCTTTAGTTGTATACTTTCAAAGAGGCAACATTCTCATGAGAGCCATGTTCAGGTAAATCAACTTGCAGCTGTTGTTCACCTGTTTTAAATACGGCTGTATCTCAGGTTTCACCACAACATTGCTTACTAAATAGTAATGTGATGGTGGGAAACATGGAATCAGAACTACATCAAGTGTCAAGTTCAATAGAGGTTTGATTCCTCAAAAATCTTTCTCAGCATCAAATCATGGCCAGATTGAAGGTGTTGGAGGGGCCACAAGTGACCACACTATCAGTACATCAATACATGTGTTTCTGTTTACTGAAGATGAAAAAACAACTTCAGAAAATTTGCTATACAAAGAAGACAAGACTCCAGTCAGCAAAAGTCCTCTCCCTAAGAGAGTCACGGTCCCAGAGGACGAGTCGTGGTCTCTAAACCACTTCTAAGGAGGTTAAACAAGGCCAGACCTGTGGGGTGGTAGCATTTCTCAGGGTATGACTGAAAAAAGGATGACAGATGAATCTGAGACTTGACGCTTCTAGCAGTAACAGATGTGTGTGTGCGTGTGTGCATGTGTGTGTGTGTGTGTGTTAGCAGTAACAGATGTGTGTGTGCGTGTGTGCATGTGTGTGTGTGTGTGTGTAGGATGATCTTAAGGAGAGTGTCAAACCCACAGGTGGTGGTGGGGTCTATAGGTCACAGTTGACCAAACAGACGAAGCAGCTGTAGGTGGAAGCTTGGAAGCAGGAAATGCTTTCGATGCATTTTATGATCATCAAACGTTTACATGTTTGTTTGGATTTTTTTAAAAATTATGCAACAGGTTTTAGTACTATAGAGAAGCCGGTGCACACACTATAGTTTTTATACCATTGAATGCTGTGAAACTGGCACCCTGCTGCAAACCTACAGCTGACTCTTTTGGACTTTCCTCTGCAGTCACCTGAATTCTTAGCAGCTTGTGCAATTGTTGTTTAGTAACCAAACATTCTGTATTACAATTGAAACAAATGGAAAATTTGAATATCTTTATTTGTGCTGTCTTTGGACCTCACTGATATATAACCAAAATAGTTAAAACACATAAAACAAACCTTGCACATCTTTTGAGACAATTGAGACCAAATTTCCTCCCATGTTTTTGCATTGTGTCCTCGCTCCGTTCCATGTCTCATTCTGATTGGTGATGATGCTATAACACTATAGGGGAAAAATCAACAGCTTGACAATGCTTAATATAAAAAGAGCAGTTGCTTTAAAAGGCAATGCCTTCCGACACTGATCATTTCTAGTCATGTTTTTTGCAGCAGTTTTCTTCCCATCCTTTCAAACCTTTGAATTAAATTTTTCCCAGTTCTGTGGACAGCCACCTGTTGGCGTCACTGTTGGCACTACTGTGGCATTGGCAGGTGGTGTGCCACTGCGTTTACAAATGAACGGGCTCTCCATCCCACAATTTCTATTACGCCAGAATCCTGTCAATCAATCCAAAATACTAAATTAATGCTTTATTTGTTTCAAACTTAAATTCAGGTTTTTTTCTTTAACTGTTATGTGAAAGTGGTGAAGATTAGTCCATCTTAAGCTACTCACCCATGGAGGTAGACATGATAACACAATTCTCATCATTGTTCTGGAATTTAGGCTGATTTTCCTCCCACCTTTGAAACACAACTGGAGAATCATCCATCCACCTTTTGGAAACACAAGAGTTCACAAAATGAGTTAATCTTGTACAATTATATTGAAAACAGAAACTACTCTTCAATAAAATTGGAAACAGCACAATCTCATTATTCTACTTGTCTTAGCCTCCTTTTGTATTTTGTATTTAATCCCTTCATTTATTATGTAATTCATACTCACGCGAATGTATTATCAAGATCTACGGTCATGCCTATCCAGTAACTCCAATGAGATCTATATATCTACAGCACAGAGAGAAATCAGCAGTACTTCAGTTTGAGTAGGTTCTGAGCTTAAATTCAGTCTTGTCAGCAATCTAGTCCACATGTTTCTTCTTACCTGTTTCCATAGAAAGACCCTTTCAGCTTCACTGTCAATAGTTACCAACTCGCTGTGAGTTCGTTTGCAGCTGGCACGAGCATCTTCCATGGCTACTGAATAATGATGAAAAAAATACTGATTCCCTTTCCATTCAAACCACCCATCTGAGGTCTTATTGTAATCTGGAAACATGTAAGAACATAGAAATATGTTTTCAGTGTTAGTGTAGGTTTTGATTTTCACTTACCTTTTTTCATGGTTAAATCCTACAGACTTTGATGATTGTAGCTACGGGATTCAGAAATGAATGAATTATTTTGTATTAACAAAAACTGTTGTGTTTTTGCCAATAACAAGGGATCAGGGTTATCTAAATTAGCCTAAAGTGTGGTTATTTATAACTTGACCTAACTGCAAATTATAAAGGCTTAACTTGACAGTCGTATTTGATGAGGCGGAATTGAAACTGGATACAGATTTTATTGAATGCTATTAAACCCTGCCTCTTGTTATTTCGCTTTGTGTTTGAACTCATCCATGTTTTAGCAAGTTTGCATGTTTTCACTTAAATATTTATATATCTCAAATTCACAACATACATCATCTCATAGCACTTCACATAGTAATGTGAAATTTTTAAACAGAGGACCCAGCAATCTCAAAGTTCCTTTTCGATTCCCTATAAGTAAGTACTGGACAACAGTAGAAAGGAGCCCCACCTCCTTTCCAAAAAAACAAAAAACCCTCAGCCAGAACCAGGCTAGGGGAAGGCGAGCATCTGCCTCGACCAGCCGGAGTGAGAGTGGGGATGAGGGGGATAGCAGGAGGGGGTTGAAAATCAATCAGTTCATCAATCGAAGTTTACCTATATAGCCCTTTACAACAGCCCAACGAGTGTCCAAAGTGCTTCACAGTGAAAAACAAGACAATAACTTAAAAACAATAAAATAACTTAACAGAATTAAAAAAAAACAAAACAAAACAAAAAAAAAAACAAGACAGCAGTAAAATAAACAATTAAAATAAACAGAAAATGTAAATACTGACAGCAACTTTTAAGCAACAGAAATTCTTGCTAAAAGAAGTTGACATACTTTATTCCACACTTACCTGGAATGACATTATCTGGAGGTAGATTTGGAGTCACTCCTGTATAAAGAGAACATAATGAAACTCAGAACAGTGAATATAGCTCATACTTTAGAAAGTTTCATACTCTTGCTTAGTTTTACCTGCATTGATCTGGCACAGCCAATCAAAGCTCAGCTCACAGTGCACATCTTCCCAAGATCCCTCCCATCTGGCTTCTTGCATTTTGAAGATCACACAAGATTCAATATTCATTTTATTGTTTGGCTCTCCATCCGACCAGTGTTGGAAATTGACCTGTAGACAGAAACAAAAAATAAACAGTGATTTCTAATTTTGCTGTCTATTTAACTGTGTCTTTTAATCTAAGTGATCAAAGTATGAACTTACAGGGGATCCATCGCTCCATACGTAACCTGTGTCTGGGTCAGGGGCACTAAGTCCAATCCAGGCGGAAAGATAACTATAAAGGATAAATTTAAATCAACGATTTAAACAGAAAATTTTGATTGTAAGATTTTTATAATAACCTATAGAAACTCTGCCCCAGTGTTCCGCTGGACACAAGCCACCTTTTGTCATCATCAAAATTTTGCAGTTTGCCAGATTATACTTGTACCGCTGTGGTATGGCAGATCGCTCTTCTTCACTGTGGATGCTGAGCAGGTCTCCTCCAATAGCCTTGCAGTAATCTCTGGCCTCATACCAGGTCCTCTTCTTTTCAGATGACTTGGAAATAAGCTGTAAACCAAACAAACAAACACTAAAAAAGAGGTTCAACATGGTTTGGTAAAGTCAGTCACCAATTTCTGGAGCATCTTTTAAAGGCAAAGGCTTTGTATATGTACATGTGTATGTATAGAGTTTTATGTCTAATAGTTTTTGCACGGTGACTCTGTGGTTTGCACTGTCGCCTCGCAGCTAGAAGATCCCCAGTTCATGTCCCGGTTAGGACACCTGGGAGTGCGTGGAGTTTGCATGTTCTACTCGTGCAGCGTGGGTTCTATCCGGGTTCTCTGGCTTCCTCCCACACAGTCCAACAACATGTTGAGGTTAATTGGTGATTCTAAATTGGCCATAAGTGTGAATGTGAGTGTGCTTGGTTGTCTGTCTCTAAGTGTAGCCCTGTGATAGACTGGTGACCTGTCCAGGGTGTCCCCTGCCTTCATCCTGAGTCAGCTGGGGTAGACTCCAGCCCCCTAAGACCCTTGTGAGGCTTAAGCGGTGCATAGATGATGGGTGGATGTTCTATAAGGTTTTGTACAGCAATATAGTCCTAAAACAGGGACTGATTGAAGCACTAAAGCATTGTATCTGTTAACCCTATAAAATAAAGTGTTGCTTTGAGCCTGATTAAAATTTTCAATATTGGTGCACGATATAGTTTTCTCCTCTGGTGAAAAACATGTTGCTCTAGACCTATCCATGTTTGTGACTGGTGCCAACATCAGCCCTGTTATGTGAATGTGCTCACGGTTAGATTTTGAAAATCTGGGTTGAACCAAGTTCATAACCACTGTTGTGTAACTGCTTAGACAGACTGCATTTGTTAGACCTAATGTTGTAGTTGTAAGTTGATCTTGCATCCTAAGCAGGCCCCAGAACAAGGTTAAGTTACAGTTATCCTTTAAACTAATTTGTCTTTTTAAAATGTGAATGTACCTTATAGCACTGTTTTCTTGTCCCAATTCGTTTCCAGCCATCTGCACAATTGGGAGGAGAAACACTGGGTGGAGCAGGAGTTAAAACAGCCCCCTCTGCTAGCTGCTTGCAAATGTATTTCTCCTTACTGGTGCAGGGCACCACATCCCAGAGGCCGGCAAAAATCCCAGTCCTCATGGCAACACAGCCCTGTTGGTGACCTTGCGTTTCCAAAGGAGAAATGGTGAAATGTTAATCGTGAGGCGACCCTCTGTGACATTTTACTGATGGAGGTCAGTGTTTCTCCATACCTGGCATTTCAGCATTCCAGTGAGTAAATCTCACTAAGAAAGTGTTGGTCCAGACAAATTCAGAGATGTTCCTCTGATTTGAGAGCCCCAGCCAGAAGTATCTGTCTGGTTTATTCCCTACTAAGCTCACAAGGAAGGCATTATCGACCCTGAAAATATTTACAGAACGAACATAGATATTTAGTGCCTAACATAATTTAAAGCAGACATGATTATTTCATTATTTTTGTTCAAATTCAGTTTTAAATCTTAAATCTTGTGTGCATTGCATCTAAAGCATTTGAAAGAAAAAAAAAAAGAGTTTTTTTTTTTTTACCCAGATGAAACATCAGCTAAGTAAGAATCTGAACTCTTGCAATCATCTTTAGCTTCATGAAAAGACTTGGGCTCTCTTCCAATGAAGTAGCAGTATGAACCATGTCTCCTCCACCCCTGGATTGATGGAAAGCAAGAAAGTGATGAGTCATTTACTGTGATTAAATCACAAAATTTGCTTTCTTAATATTCAGTATCTGGGTTTGACAGCATTAATATTACTAAGTATGACAGCTGAAAGCAAAACACTCCACCAACTTTCACCATGGTTGTCTCAAATCGAGAAAAGAAGCTATAGTCACAGACATATTATACACACAGCTTTAAACTACACAGCATTATGAGGGGAATTGTACAACAAGCTGAAACTATTGATATATTGACCTTAAATTAAGTACTGACTTTAGCATACTCTCTACACTGTTAGTTCATCTGTTTGTTTTGGTCTTTAGAAGCTGCATAGTGCTCTGCTGTGTTCACCTGTCTAAGCACTGCTGCTGTAACACACTGGGCTAAAACAACAGACGGCCTTGTGGGAGTGGCAGAACTGGGAACTTCAGACATCATCATATGGACAGAAAAACAGAAATTACCAAAGAAAATATGAAAAGACAATGTAAACTCAACGCACACTTTTGCAGCCTCCGGCTTCCTCCACTTTAGTTCCAGTGGGTGTTGAAGAGCTCATCTTCATACAAATGAAGCCCTGCTTCTCCTCACACACACGGTCAGCCCAGTTCCCATTCTGCAACACAGTACCATCAAATATTAGGTGGAGAGTGGAAGGTAGTAACATCAGTGTACTGGTATGTCACATGTCCACAAATTCCACAGTTTCAAAGCTGTAGAAATTTAATGTTGCACTTTAAGTGTAGACAAATGTCTGTTTACCTATATACCTATTGATATTTTATGCTCATATACATCAGCGTATGCACTGTACCCACATCATGCTCCTTACCTCTCCTCTGATTAGAACACAGTCTTTTATATCAGAAGAAACTTCTGGTTTCCCATATTCCCAGCTTGTGAAGCTGACAGCAGAGTGATCAGTCCAGTCAAATAGTCCCTCTGTCTTCCTGTCGTTCAATCCAATCCAAAGCTCATCAGTGGATGCTGCTGACAAAAAAAAGATAACCTTCTGTAAACTGTTTTACAATAACTTAATATATTACTAATGAAGAACACGCATTTGCACATTGTGTTTTATTCATATTACTTCGTTCTAAACTTATTTCACCCAAGTCAGACAGATGGAAGGAAGGCCAATGGACTTAAAATAACTCTGTTGATTGAATCCTTGTTCAATTCTTCCTCAGAGGGACTCGTCTTTTATTCTGTTGTCTTCACGTACCAAAACCAAGCTGAGAGATGACAAAGCTTTGGTCCTCCACATTGCGAATGCTCACAAGGTTCCCTCCTTCATCGCGGCACTGTTTCTGAGCATCAGACCATGTTTTCTTAGTACGATCAAGGTGGAAGCAGTGGCCATTGTAGGGAACCCAGGGTTCTGAGCAAAATCCTGTCCCAACAGCTGATCATGAAGAACAAAGAAAGTTATGTACTTAATGACAGATATGTACTGTAGCTACAGTACATTGTAGCCAGAGGATGTCTTGAATAGTGTTGCATTGTCTACAAAATGAGAGGCATGGCAGCAAAAACAAGTGTTCTTACCTACCATCCACAGATTGTCCACAAAGTAGATAAACAAAACTAAATATGGGCAAGCCCACAGATACCACGATGCCCATCTGGAACCCACACATTCAGCCTAGCAAACTATGAAAGATGTTTAATTCGGCTTTATCGTTTTATCTTCCATCATGACATGCAAATGCATGGTTCACACTGGTGATGTTAAGACACAATACTGCAAGCTGTTAAAAAATCAGGTGTTCACAAGTATGAAGATCACCAGCATCAGCTACAATGATCAGCTGAATTCGAGCAGTGTGTGATTACAATGTGCACTGAGGTACTGCTAATTCACATCATTTACACTTCTATAGGCAGCAGTGGAACATGTGAAGGTGGAGACATGAACATTTAAAGAGCTGATCTTCATGAAGAGTTCCTCCTCCTGCTGTAGTTGGATATAAAAATGTATAAATACACTATAGTCCAGTTATTCACTTCAGTTGTTTTATGGCTTCTTTTCAGATCCTCCACTGTCTTGCACTGATTTCATCAAAATCTATTTTCAATCATTTTAAAATACCAAAAAAGTTTTTATATTCTACTATATATTAGCGCATTACTTTTCTTGACGTTTCATATTCGTATCATTTCAGTATCAGTATTTTTAGGCAGGCATTGTATGTAAGTCATAACTCTGATATCGTGAGAACACTAGCGTAGAACAGAATGGATCTTTTTCTATACCTTGTGTAGGGATTTCCTCGGCTCCTTTACTGTAGCAGATGTAGCCGAGTTTCTTGCTGCAGGGGGAACTTTGCCAGGTGTACTGTACAGCAGGTTCAGCAACTGCACAGTGGTGTCCCGGATCAGGAAGTGGATGTCCTTAAACATGATGATGATCATGTTTAACATCACACTGCTTGCACTAATCAGTTAGTACTGACTATTGCTATTAATCCTAATATATTGCCATTTTTGTTGTACCATCTTTGAGCTGAAGAAAAACCTACCAGAGTCCCATTTCATATATCGGTAGGGCCTCCCATTAATCCATTTCCAGCCGTGATCTGGATCCAAAATCAGTCCAATCCAAAGTGTATTGCCCCCTTTCCCAAGTAGTGCTGTTAGGGCAATGAAGAACAAAATAACAAACAGCTTTCCTTTTAGTCAGTACTTACATTTCTGATTATAAGAATTGTAAGTATTCTGTATTATCAACATACATAGAGCCTCCAGCATGTCAATAAAAAAGATCTATTTAATGCAAAGTTCTTTTCAGTAATAATTAAAAAATTCACAAGACACAAAATGAATTGGTACACAGTAACTGTATGTAGCTACAAAGTAACAAGTGCATGATCTCTTTTTCAGTGCATTTAGCAAAGAGTCACCTGTTACCTTACCTGTGATATAAGCTTGCTCGTGTGGATCATTGATGCTGAGCAGGGACGAGCCCTGCTGTTTGCAGCTGACTTCTGCCTGAGGCCAGGTCAGAGCTGACTGTGTGTTCAGCTGGTAATACCCTCCTGTGTTTGGATGTTTATTCCAGTCCTCCCTGGCTGTTTAATAGGTATACAAAATACATTAAGTGTTAAATGTTATTTGTAATAGTTTCGCCCTGTAACCTTAAGTTGTACAATTTTTACTCAGTTAAACTATAGAGGCTTGACTTAACTATATAACATTGTTGTGTCCTATAATAAATTATGCTTGTAGGTGCTTTGAATAACAATTATGCCTCCTGAAAGCTTCATTTATTCATACAAAGTACTTCACGGGCACTGCTTACAGGTAGTTGGACAGTACCCCCAGCGTTCGCTTTCAAATTTTGTCTCAACCGCACACCAAAGACGCTTCTCTGAGGAGTCAAATGTCGTGCAGTTTGAGTACCACTGGTGTTTGTACAGAAAGGGAAACATGCAGGGCTTTCCAAACGCATTTCCACCGACAGTGAAAAGCTCTAAAAGGGATTAAGAACATAACAATCATTAGTTATAGAATATCTGTAATGCTAAAACTTACCTTTCATTAGAACATGTGACAAACTTCATTCAAAAAAGTGATGCTAAATTCAGCCTCAGAGGTTCTCTGTATTTATCTTTCACTCATGATTTGCAAAATAAATATGACTGTACATTATATGCAGACACCTGTGCATGGATGTTTCCCTCATGGTTGATAAAACTAATTGGAAATATCACTTGATGGAAACCTCCTAACTTTAAAGCATGTAAAACTGTAAACTTTAACATTTTAGCTTTGTTTTCTAGTTGAATTGATGAATTGATGAACTGAATTAAATTGATAGGACACGTGTTTCATACAGTACTGTACCTCTGTATGTTCTTGTACAAGCACCACTGGACGTCCCTGAAATTGTGAGGTGGTTATTGGGTCCCGTGGTTTTGGAGAGAACAGCTGTGTTATCTGCAGTGAGCTCAATGTAAAGCTCTTGGCCTTTGAGGGCGAGCATTGTTTCATTCTTGCATTCCCACTTTTGGAGTTCACTGTTTTCATCACAGTCATATAGAGTTATATCACTCCCCACACTTTTACCCTGGGCTCCAAGGCACTTATTCAGTTGCTGAACCAGAAGCCGATCGCCAGTTGTCCAGCGTATGTCATTGCAGTAGTTGTTTCTTTTCACCAAACAAAAACCAGTGGCCTTGTTAGTTAGTTGAAATGATGACTCTGCAGAGAGAGAAATAATGCAAACTCACTTGCATACTCACATTACTTGGGTGCTTTTGCGGTGTCTAATTTGATTTCATATTGCATGGACAAGCATTCTGACAATTGTTTACCGAGTAAGCAGAAACTATAAAACAAGTGGAGATCTTACACCACAGCGTAAAGTGTACACCTACAATTTATTTTACAAAAGATCAAAGTTAAAAATTGGAATACCATACCATCTGAAGCCAAACAATGGAATGTTTGGATGAGGAGCACAAAGGCTGTACAAGTAATCTTCATTGTGAGGATCCTTACTCCCCACAGCAGAAGACTTTACCGACTCCTAGGATTTAGGAGTTGTGTGAATGACTGCTGCACGTCAGTCTTAACAGGACTCACACATCCTGTCTCGGCAACTCTAGACGTGGTATTTGTCGCCTTAAAAAAACCAAAAAAAAAACGGAACCTAGATACGGATATTTGCACATTCAGCTGTTTTATTGCGTTACATGGTACATTCCCAGAACAGCATGTATCTTACCATGTGGATATTCACTATTGTGTAACAAGGAGACTGGTGTGGGAAACAGGAAGTGCAAGTTTCATGCTTCGGTTTGTGACCACTTAATGACAGCCAGACTATACACTTAAAAAATGCATGAACCAAGACAAATCATTCTGCAAATTGATAATTATGAACGATTTGGCAAACATATCTTTTTTCCAGTCGATATTACCATTGCAATTCGATGAGACTACAGTTTAAATCGGAGGGTGTGGTGAGAGGTGTTACAAATGTGCGACGTATGACCCTTAAATAATGCGACTGGGATTAGTTAGGACAACTACAGGTATACATCAATATATGGGCAGCCTAAAACTCTTTACATTTTTATCTGCTTAAGTTAAACAACACATAAATTACAACATCTTTTTTTTTT